TAAAAGATTAGACCATCGACCTAACATGTCCAATTACGATTATCTGAGAAGACCTCGGGTTGGGATGTTACAGATTCATTCTTCATTTCGAGATGTCAACAATGATATAAACACGTACAAGTATGACATTAAATCAATTTTTTTGGGAAACTCAAAAATACCGATTTGTAAATGTTTTTGAGTAACATAAGCATATCTCGAATTTTTGTAGTTATTTTATTTCTTGGAGCATGCACAAAGTCTCCTCAGTTACTACTAGACATAAAGTATATGGAAAAGGGGCCTTTTTATCATTTGCTCAATTCAGCTGACAAAATGAAGAACACTGAAACTAGCTTTTAAAGTATAGAATTAAAATACTTGCAAATGTCAGGCATCATCATTAGTTTCATCTACCTGCTTATGTTCTTCATTTCATCAGTCAAATGGAGAAAATGACACAATAACCCAATTTCCATATACTTTGTAACTAGTGATAACTGAGGAGGATTTGTGCATGCTCTAAAAAACAGATTAACTACAAGAATTCAACATGTGTCTCAATTACTTAAAAAGTATCTTACAAATTGATAATTTTGATTTTAGCTAGGGATTGTTATTTACTTCCATATTTCACTATCAAAAATAAAATTTTGATCGTAATGCTAAATAAGGATACTCAAGATAGGATTTTTGACTACCATCCGAGTTGTGTTGACTTGCAGCTTACTGAAATCGCTTTTACAGATGATCTTGTGAATTTTTTGGATGAGTATGAGAAATCTTAGATGTGTGTTTTTTTTCTATCATTTCCTAATTTGAAAAATAATTCAGGGTCCGAGGTAATAAATATTGACAAGACTTCTATGTTCTGCTAAGACCATCTCCAACGGTACTCCAAATTTCACTCTAAAATAGAGTTTGGAGCAAAATTTTCTCCAACCCTACTCCATATCTCACTCTAAAATGGAGTAAAAAATGGAGTTACTCTAAATATGGAGCAAAAAAATAGAATTACTCCATTTTTTAGTCATGACTCCATTTTGGTAGAAAAAATAGAGTAAACTTGGAGTAAAACACAACTCCATTTTGGAGTTACTCTAAAATAGAATAAAATATAGAGTTATACATTGGAGATGTCCTAAGGACTCTTAAAAGATGTATTGGATTGCATGATGAGGCATTTTTGCCTCTCTAAGGACTATCCCAATACGCAATTTGAGACTATATTATGTTCAAGGAAACTAAACATAAAGACTGTCTCTTACCTTCTCAGATTCATAGGATGCTTAATGTATGGATGCATCGTCTCTTAGTCTTGTAGGAAGATTGCTACTCATATCTTTGGTTATTCCAGAACAAATGGGTTTATGGAGCTCCACTGTCTTCCTCCCTAAGAAGGTGATTCAACTTATAAACATCTTGACAAGTTCCTTTCTTTGGCATGGTTGTATCATGGAACCTACAAGTGCTAAAGTTGCCTGGTCAAAGTTGTATTACTTAAAAATAGAAGGAGGATTAGGCTTAAGATCTTTAATCCTTGGAATGACATGTGTGGTTTTTTAACGGATGAGAAAAGATGAAGCTATAAACATAAAGAACACGACACAGTTTTAACATGGTTCACCAACGATGTGTTGGCTACCTCCACGGGTAAAGGAAACCGATTTACTAAAGGAGGCAGAAGGTTCAGAAAACTCAAGTATTCAACGGTTTCCAACTTAAACCTCCAATTTCTTGGGTTTCCACTTTAAACCTTCAAGTTAAATATTTTTCCAAAACAAAATTTCAAGTTGCATAAGTGTGCTTAATCGAGGGTTGACTAATGGTCAACAAGATTGACTAAAGGTCAATCTTCGATTGAGCACACTTTATGCAACTTGAAAATTTGTTTTGGAAACATAATTAACTTGAATGTTTATAGTGGGAATCCAAAAAGTTGGAGGTTTAAGTTGAGAACCGCTGAATACTTGAGAGGTTTTTATGAAAATTTTCCTATTAAAAATGATATACTTTATTTATATGATTATATAGATATGGATAGTAAATCATAAAATTTTATAATAGCCGGATTTGGATCCAGTTTTACCAAATTCGATAAATAAATTTTTGGATCCCAGTTTTTAAATATCCATGAATATCCAAATTCGTTTCAAACTATATATATGTGAAAATTTGAATGACAACTTTGATCTTTTAATTGGTATATGAGAATGCATATTATGTGAAGCAAATTATGGTATCACAAAATGTTAACATATTCATCTTAATCTTCGAAAAAGAGAAGGGTTAAAGTCCCCCGAAAAAAATTATACTGAACTCAAGTTAGAGAGGTAATATTGAGAGTGACTATAAAAAAAAGAGAAACCAGAGGAAGATAGAAATTTAAACCGATCCAATATATGGTTCAACATGTTGCATTAATGAGAGAGAGAACAAGAGAGATAGAGAGGGAAATATGTGTAGAAAGAGATTATTAGTATATCTTATAAATACGTTAGAAAATCAAGATATCCCAAATAATTAATTGATTAACTACATGAATTTTTTTCCTGAAAATGACTTGACACTGATGCAACTATAAAAAATTGTGTATACTAATATTCAAAAATCAATAAACCTACATAAATATCTATAAACCAAATTTGATTTAAAGTTTTAATTGATATAGTAATTCTAAATAACATAAAATAATTAAATAAAAATAACCAGTATTGTAACAAACTAAAAAACAACTAATAGAAAGCATATAAAGCAAAAAAAAATTTACATACAAGCAATTAATCTTTTTCTTATTTCTTTCCACTAGTTTTTTTGTGATGTAAATATTATGTTCTCTCCAAATATGTTCCTTGTAGTCAACACTTGAAAATATAAAATTTATTAAAAAGGTTTTAAATATATGGGAAAGATACCGAAAGACTATATGGATGGATGAATGATTAAAAAAGAAAATATAATAATAAGAACTAAAAGTCTAAGACTGCAAGCAATTTTTGCTAGCAAAGATATAGTAATAGACAAATTAAAAATTAGTTAATTCTCTGAAACAACTTTAAAATACACTTAATTTGAAACAAATGATGTAACTAATTTCATAAAAGAGATTATATTATGGAATATTTTTTTGACTGCTACGTCCTGTGTGTGTATTCACAAAACTAGTAGTTTTCTAAGAACCAATAATCGTAAAAATCATAATATTGGCAGATATTAAGTAATTATTTTTCAAGAATATATTAAAATAATAGAAAAAATTCAATTCATTTTCCTTAAAATTAAATTTTCAGATATTCTTACTGCAAATTGATATATAAAAGTATATATATATATTAAAAATAAAGTTATATAATTTTCAAAATTATCTATCAAAACATATCAAGATGCAGATAATCATTTTTTAAATAGAGGGATGCGGATTTGAAATAGCCAGATCCATATCCGATGAACTTCATTATCTGATTTCGTGAAGCACCAGCACGTCATATCTCAAATCCCAAACATGTAAACCATATTTAATTATATGGTTCTCTTTAATTTTTATATTAAAAATCAGCATGGTTCTAATCACAAACATCTACAGTATTAGAAAAAAAAAATCAAAACATTACATTAATGTCAGACAAAGGGAGTGGGGGGGGGGGGGTTGTATTGAATTAAGTTACAGTAATTTGAATTTTAATAAGATTTTAGATGATTTTGATGGTTTAGTTTAAAATTCTCTGGAAATCCAACTATAACTATGGAATTTGAGTATTTGTATTTTTAACTAGGAAATCCTCTGAAATTCTTTGAAATCATTAAAATCTCAATGTTTATTTTTTTCTAATAAAATGGATTTTAAGAGATATTTATAAATTCTTCATCCAATAATATTGGATTTTAGAGAGCTTTTTAAAATCCATGTTTGAATGACAGAAGATTTGTTATTGTAATTCAAATCACTCCAAATGCTGAGTTAAACAATAAGAGGAAATCCATCGATGAGATAAACAAGACCAAATTACATAAATTTCATATTTAACAGATTATAATTAAATGAATTAATCGAAATCGTAGCTGTTATTTTATTTGCACATATGATATAGTGGCATACCTTTGATGAAATGTTGAAGAAATTCAAGATCTCCTATTTGATGCGATCTATTCTCACACAAATTTTCATCAAATATAATATTATTTTTATATTTTTGTTTTTCTAAGAGATACGGCACAGTGAATACAAAATATGTTATTGAGTTTATGAACCTTATATATACAACAACGAATAACCTAGTTTAAAACGATATCGTATAGGCGGAAGATATCATAAATTTTAAAAGGTTGTACCTACAGAAAATGGGCCATTTTATATATTTATGATAATTTTTATAACTTTAAAAATAATAAGTCATAATTATGTTAAACAAAATCTATATAAAATTTCTCAGTACACTATTCTTGATGAACTTCTTATATTTCTATGTGCAAACTTATTCATCAAATTTGTATAGTTAAGTTCTCAGTCATACTTTTTGGTGAAACCTTAAAAACAATCTAGTCAGTTTTCAGTCAGTTTTTTCCTGCAATATAGTAGATCATAGATAAGACTTTATAAATTTTAACTTTGAAAACTTTCTTTTACAAGGAAATTAAAACTTGAATCGTCTATCATTATTATGCTTTATGCAATCCATGTAATTGGATAACAACTTTCCATGATTTCAGATTATTCAATATCTCACTACCTTCTTAATCTCTTCTGGTGAAGCTACTCTTAAACCATTGAGGTATAACAACACAATAACAGTACTGAATTTGCAGGCGAATGGACTCAAAGTCGAGGTTCCTTTAAACAGATTTCCTCTTTAAAGTTGTAATTAAAAAGATTTCTTCTCAAGTGTTCTGTTTATAATGTATGTGATCATTATTTTCAGGGAGCTGCTTGTCTAGCTCGAAGCTGAAACGTAGTTAATGAAGATTTAACATCCATAGATTTAAGATTCAACAAAATTCGGGTAAATGCATACAAAATTCTTGCTTTTGTTTCTTAATATCTCAGCTTTAGATAAAATAATATCTCAAAAAAATTGGAACTACAGGGATCATCATATTCATATCTCATTTTTGGAACAACAACAAAAATGATAAAAAAAAAAACTGATTATTCCATTTTACGGTAGCTTTATATACAACATATCAGTGTGATCTACTTAAACTCGCAAAGCTTGAGGCTCCTCTACTTCTCCAGCTTTTAGAAAAGCTGAAAATCAAACGCAAACACATAATTATTTTTAATCTCTTGTGTCTTTGTCAATGTTTATGCATCTTTAAATTCTAGTTTTTTTACCTCTCTTCTTAAGCTTGTTCCTGAAACCTCTTTTCCTGCTGAATGCAGTTTCCTGAATATTTCATATAGACATCATAACACAAGAATGAATCACCAGAAGGAATATGCTATTGGTATTGCAAAAGAAGGTAGGTAGATTCTACTACGGATAATGATAAAACCCAAATTGAGTTCATTGATAGAATTTATACCACAGGCTGACCCGCCTGCACTGCTTGACGGATTGCTTCCACTAAATCACGGTTAGCCTCGGTGTATAGACTGGTCACCGTCCCATATTGCCCAGCTCTAGCTGTTCGACCTATCCTGTGAAGGAAATCCACTGCAGAGCTAGAAAAATCTGCCTGCAATAACCCCAAGATTCACAAAATGGATTTAGAAAGCTGAGTACTTTGAAGAGGGTGTGAGTTGAAATCAGAAAAATAGTAACCTGAATAACGTGTGAGACGTTAGGAACATCAACTCCACGGGCAGCAGCATCAGTGCAAACAAAAACACCGCCGTTTTCTCTGAAATCAGCTAATATATTAGCACGTTCTTCAAGAGTATGGTTCTTGTGGTAACGATAACACTGGATCCTAGCTTTCTCCAATATATCAGCTACTGCTTCAACAGCCTCAACGGTATTTGCAAACACCATCGTCCTGTCTGTGATGTTGTTGTTGTTGCTTACAGCCTCTAGAAGAGCATCAACTTGTGTGTCTACTGTGACTTCAACCCATTTCTGCTTTAGTCTGCAACATAGCAAAAACAATGACAACTCTGAGTTCGAGAGTTACGAACTAATACTAAGTAAATAATCAAGACAAGTACATTGCCAACCAAGAGCTTAAAATAATTCATGTCTTCATCTTTGACCTTTATTGTGATACATATATATGACTTGAATCAACAATTTAAAGGTGTGAGTGATGCGGAAAAGATGTACATTACTTTAAAGAAGATGAAAGGGTTTAGCTTTCACCTAGGACTGTTTCGGTGAAGAAAGTTTCCGCTAACCCAGATAGCATCTGGAAACATATGTTTCAACAATCCACCAGCAGTCTTCTTTCCGTTAACTGGAAGCGTGGCTGCAATAAAAATATACTGCTTACTACGGCTATAGACCTTTCTTACTCTTCTCCAGCCCTTTTTGGTATCTGACCCAGTTTCAGTTTCAACAGTAGGCATTTGTTCTCTATCATCGACATACTCGACTTCTTCTTCCTCTTCCTCAGAAATAGATCCGATTTCTGCATCATCCTCAATTTCTAGATCAAATTGGGCTAAAGTGGCATCAATCTCCATTGGTTTGCCATCTTGGGATAAAGCCAAACGAGACACTTGTTTCTCATCAAACCGCATCAAGTTTATCAGACGAATAATCTGATTCTGGAAGCTTCCACACAGAAGCATATCAGCTTCATCAAAGACCTGCAAGTGATCTAAACATTCAACAGGACATCTGAAATTCCAAAACTGCTCAGAACACAATACAACACAGCTCTAAACAAGAAACCATACCACATATTTGACTGATCGAAGAAACTCTACACGCCTGTTTCTTTTTGGCTCAATGTTATTCAGAAGAGCAGCAGGTGTCGAAACAATAATGTCAGGCTGTTTATCTGGCCAACCCTGCAGCAAAATGTAACTTCAATACTCAGCTATAATCGTACAGATACACACACAAAGTCAGATAGATATTTGTTTCTCGGCATGAAATGGTTACCTGTGACCCACAAACAGCTTCAGCTCTGAGAAGTGGATTACCATCCTCTCCAAGAAGACCATTAACCATCCGAACCACTTGTTCACACAGCATCACATTTGGACACAGAATCAGAGAAATGTTCTTAAGTGGAATCCGCCTTTCATTTCCATTCACATGCTCGGAATCAAGAGCGGTGTTGGTCAATCGATCGATTATTGGAGCAAGATATCCATGTGTCTTACCACTACCGGTTTCTGCTGCAACAATCACATCTTTCCCGGACAATATAGAAGGTATGCAAACAGCCTAATAGGCAAAAACAGTAAAGAATCAGTCTCCAGATTCACAATAAAACACTTGAGAACCAACCTATTTCTCAATACTTCAAAATCCAAAATTTCTCAAAACTTCAAAATCCAAAATTCAAAACACATCATTTCACAATCAACAAGTGCTTCACCAAGTTCTCAGATTCACAATAAAACATTTGAGAACCAAACCAATTCCTTAAAACTTCAAAATCCAAAATTTCACAAAAACAGCCTAACAGGTAAAACAGTAACGAATCAGTCTCAGATTCACAATAAAACATTTGAGAACCAAACCAATTTCGCAAAACTTCAAAATCCAAAGTTTCACAAAAATAGCGATTAAAACATCATTTTCCAATCAACAAGTGCTTCACCAAGTTCTCAAATTCACAATAAAACATTTGAGAACCAAACCAATTTCTCAAAACTTCAAAATCCAAAATTTATCAAACTTTAAAACCCAACATTTCACAAAAAACAGCAAAATTAACACATCATTTCACAATCAACAAGTGATTCACCAAATTCTCTGCCAAATTCTCGAGATTTGAAAACTTTACCTGAGTAAGAGACGGTCTATCAAACCCAGAAGCTCGAAGAGCAACAGAGACTGTATCCGATAACCCAAGAGACTTCCAAGAAACAGCATGGTCCGCGAAGAACGTATCATTACCCTTTTTCTCTACTTCAGCTTCGGTAGCAGACGCAAACCCACGAACCCATTTCCCGTTAGATCGATTGAGAGAGAACAAACGGAAAGACGCAGAAGAACCATAAGCGAGAGCAAACGAGACCTTGAGCTTCTGAGATAAGAGCTTCGGCGCCGAGGAAACTCCACACAAATGAAGCACTGAGACGGAGCGTGAGAGAATCATGGGAGTTTCACAAATTAAATCTACCGGAAATTTATCATGAAAATTGAATCACGGCGGATAAGATAGATAAACCTAATCCAAAAGGGTTTAGGCAATTAGGCCCTAAACTTTAGGGTTTAAGCAAAAATGAGATTCTGATTCAGAGAAGAAACCTCTGTTATACAGTATTAACGACGTATAGATATTAAGTATGAAACGACGACGTATAGATATTCAGTATTAAACGATGCCGTAGTAGGCATGAGAAGTTATCAAGCTCGAAGTTATCTTGTATACAGTATATATCGCAGAGAGGAGGATTTTGGTCACGACCTTACTTGTGTTTGGCTCGTACGTTGTTATAAAAAAATCCACAGGGGACCAAACACTTCGAGAATACAAGAGGTTTTGGTTAAGGGCTTTATGTCGGATCTTCTTACCAAATTCTTTTTTTTTGCCCCTGACTTATATTCTTACCCCATAATGTTTTGGAATTGCAAACAAACCCTTGTTTTCTCTTCACCCTTCTGTTTCCACACCTTCTTTTACAGACTTAAAATTTTGGCTCATATCCTCTTCATAAATTTTGGCTCATATCCTCTTCATTCTTCAACAACCATTAATCATTCCGCAATCGTGAGAGTTTTCGTTTTGTCCCTTTGTTATTGTGTTGAATTTTTTTTTTGAAATTCATTGGAGTTTTTTTTTGATACTTGAACCGATGATTGATGAACAAAATTTAATCCAAAAGGGCATGTGAAGTTGTTTACTTTGTCTCATATCGGTAAGTTGGAGAAAAATTATGTTGTTTATATAGAAATCGCAGAGAGGAAGGTTTAGGTCACGATCAGTGGCGGAGCTAGCAAAAAAATTTACAAGGGTCAGTTTTAATTTATAATGTATCATGAACAAATTTTACAGAGGTCGTTTAGCTAAATTATCAATATTTTACATATTTTTCTTTAAAAAATATAAATATATAAAAAATTTTGAATTTTATATGGGTCATTTGACCCACCTACCAATACTGTTTCCGTCACTGGTCACGACATTACTTGTGTGTTTGGCTCGTATGTAGCTAATCTAGGTTTCAATTTGTCAACTCTTCCTGATTTTTTTCTTCTTTTAAAATGTTTGGTTTTTTACATTTTTTGGGCATTACAAAAATCTCTACTTTTTATTAAAAAAAATATTTAGAGGTTCTGGGCCAAAACATGTAATCCCCTGGGCATGTAAAGTCCAAAACCATACCATGTAATATTAGTTTTATCTCAAACGTCATTTGATCATGTGACTTCTAGGCTTTTCCTAAAACTCCTTTACCAGTCGAGCTAACGACACTTTGTAAAAAAAACCCTGTTTACTTTTGAGCCACGGTTAAATCTCTCCGCTATTGTGAGATTTTTGTTTTGTCCATTTGTTATTGTCTTGAATTTTGAAATTCATATGCATTTTCATTTTTAATTCTTGGGTTTTGTTCAAGAGATGAAGAAATTTAAAGACCGTCTTATATTGAAGCTTTTACCCGATGATGTTGTATGAGACAATGCACTATGTACATTTTTATGTTGACTTCATGAATTAGGGATGATTGTCATTATAGTTTTGAGTTATGTTGTATATTTTCAAGTTCAAACTCAGTTAGACTATCATATTAGCATGATGTAGATGCTTAGTTTCAGTGAATTCTGAGGCTTATATTTTGGACTTATGGAACGTCTCTAGGGCTAGTTGGATATATTTTCTCTAGAATTACTGAAACATTCAGGATTGGTTTGGCGTTTATGTGTTCTTGCAAAACATTGAGCTATAGTTATAAATCTAAGGATTATGAGACTCTTTTCTAGCTTCGAATATACGGAGCTGTTTGGTTCGGAGCTTGACAAGGTCAAAACATGTCTTGCTTATCAATAAAGAATATTTTGATTTGGAGAGAATGTTAGGAGCTGTTTGGTTTAAGAAAACTAGTATATGTGGTTGTAACTAGCTTTCAAGGCATAAGCCTCAATAGAGTTCACAATGCGTGAGTTAATCAGAATGGCATAAAAAGAAAAACATGTATTATTTACTAACTCAAGAACTAAGAGTCATAAAAGCAAAAACAATGAAGAAAACACAGAAACTTGACTCTTATGCACGCTCACATGAGTCAGGCGAATCATCACGGCTATAACACTAAGATGAGAATAACTGTTACCACACATTCACTAATAAGGGAAAAAGCGTTGCAATTTCCAAGTAAAAAGCAGACTTAGTTCTCCGAGTGTTTAGTTGAATAAGGCGATATGCAGAGATGGATTAATACTACATTTATCATATTAGCGCACCTGATAGTAGATCTTATTAATCTAGTCATTGTGAAATATTTGCGTCAAGAGGTTGCAACATGAGAGACGTGTAAGAGTCAATAAGTTGACGATCAACAGGGACACATGTGTAGCACAGCGTGTGAAAGGCGCGTGAAACTCAATAGAAAACAAGGTGAATAACCTAAGTGGTGCTGACGTGGCAGCAAGGAATTGGAGCTGGCAGGAAGCTGTTATATGAGATCGAGTATCCATGATATGGAGATCAGAGGATCCTAACAATAAGGAAAGAGGTTATACACAATCCATGGGAATGTGTATAAGACGGAAAAGAAGGGTTTTGTGTTAAGTACCCTTCAGAGAGAACAAGTCACAAGAAATTAGCCGCGTGAGAGGATTAGCCACGTGAGAGGTTAGGGTTTTTGGTGAGTGTTGTATTGTCTTAGTTACACAGCTGTTGCTGTTTTTAGGTTGGGAAGATTAAGAATTGATCAGTGTCAAGTTGCAGTAGCAAGTTCGTGTAATCCTGATTAGATAGATCTGAAGGATTGTCTAAGTGATTCTTAATAAAAGGCAAATAGTGTTTTTGCATTTCTGTGTGTTCTACCTTCAGTCTCTGTGAAACAGATCTTTCAATTGGTATCAGAGAGGGACACCTTCTAGAAGCCTATTTCTACATCAGGTGAAGATCCTGTGGAAAACAAGGAGACGATGAAGGAACTGGTGGCTGTTCAAAAACCCTTGCTGCTTCACTCAGGAAACTTTGGTCATTGGAAGGCTCAAATGTGACACATCATTCGAGGACTTGATGGAGATGCGTGGACTGCAGTCGAACAGGGTTGGACAGCTCTGACTGTTTTATCTGAGGATAAATCAGGCAATAAGGTTTCTACTGATAAACCTAAAAATCAATGGACTGAGACAGAGAAGAGCCTATCAAAATTCAACTCAAAAGCCATATCAGCAAAATTTGCTGCTGTGGATCTCGATGAATTTGGAATTATCCAAGGTTGTGAGTCAGCAAAAGAGGCTTGGGATACACTAGTTAATCACTTTGAAGGGGACACTAGCATCAGAAGAACTTGTATTGATCATCTCGCTTCTGATTTTGAAAACCTCGAGATGTCGCCTGATGAATCTGTTGCAAGCTTCACCACAAAACTGAACACTATAGCTAACGAGTCAGCGGTGTTGGGAAAGAAGTACAAGGATAAAAAAACTTGTGAAAAAAGCTTCTCAGATGTCTTCCACCCAATTTTGCTGCACACAAGCTGTGGTGAAGTACTCAATGGATAGAGACACCATAAAATTTGTTGGTCTGCTCAAAGCAGAGGAAATGGAGGCGAATGCTGATCAGAAAACATCTCAGAAGAGTATTGCATTTGCTGCCGCGGATGAAAACAATAGGATGAGTCAGTGTGAGGAAAACCTCAGTTTGCTGGCAAATAATTTTAACAAGATGTTGAAGAGAGTTGAGAAAGGTCACAAAAGTTTTCCAAGTTTTCAAGAAATGAGGGGGATAAGGGAAATTATCGTAGCTCGAGAACAGAAGGAGATAGAGGTGGAAGAAAAAGAGACCTTCAATGTCACAAAAGTTTTCCAGGTTTTCAAGAAATGAGGGGGATAAGAGAAATTATCGGAGCTCAAGAACAGAAGGAGATAGAGGTGGAAGAAAAAGAGACCTTCAATGTCATGAATGCGAAGGCTTTGGTCACTTCAGAGGTGATTGCCCATTGACCAAGCGAACAGAGTTAAAATGTCCTGACTGTAAAGAGTTTGGTCACACTAGAAGTGAATGTCCAAACACCTTTAAGTCAAAAGACAAATCCACGATTGTCTTTGAGGATACTGACTCTGAAGATGAGGAGGAAGAAAGTGAGAATCCCATGCTAAACTTCGTTGCCTTTGCTGCTGAAGGAGAAGAAAGTGTTCGAACACCAACCTTGGAATCAGAATCAGAGTCGGATGAAGAGGAGATTGACCCAAAAGTTGAATACAGGAAACTGTACGACAACTGGGTGAAAATAAGCACCGAGAATCTGCAACTGATCAAAGAAAAAGCTCTCATGAAGACGCAGATTAACATTCTTGAGATGGAACAAGGCTCAACACCTCAGGAGAAGGATCAGTGTGCAACAAAGATGCTTGAAGTTCCAGATGCTGAAGCAAATAAGATCAAAGAGGAACTTGTAGCTGAACAGAAGAGAAGACGAGAGTTGGAAGATAAACTGGAAAATCTGAGAGAAGTATGCCATCAAGAAAACGAGAAGGCCAGAACGCTGCAAGGTCAACTGATAGAAAATCACAAGAAGATCAGAATGCTGAACACTGGTGTAGAGAATCTCGATCAGATACTGTCTGCAGGTATACCTCCTAAGAAGAATTGGTGTCTCGGATACACAGGAGGATACCAAGCAGGGGAAATCTCTTCCACTCCTGGAACGCTTTGGGGTTTTGTCCATGGTGGAATATCTGTCAGTGAACTCTCTAGTCAACATGCCTCTTTAAAAGAAACAGTTAAACCTTGTATTCCGAAGGAAACTCTCCAGGTCGTGAGTGCGAGTACACTAAAACTAGGTGGAAAAATGAAGGGAACCTGTTTCTTCTGTGATAAGCGTGGTCATAAGAAGAGAAACTGCTACAAATTCAGGAACAAAGTAAAACAAGCTTGGAAACGTCATCTCTGCTATCCTGAACCGAAGTTCTACGGCAAGATGTGGATGCTAAGAAATTGTTGTATGACATGTCTATTCGAGATGAGAAAGCTGAAGCTGCCGCAACAAAACTTAATCTTGTCTGCAATCTTGCTCACATTAGTCTCGAAGTGCTGGATGTTGTAA